TTTAATTAATTTGCAACATGTGTTACTGAACGAATAATTATTTTGAGGATAAATAAATGGGCTATTAGAAAATATTAGAAGCACAGTGTCTGTTCTGAGGTAAATGTTTTTCAAAATTTACTTTGGCTCCCAGATCAACCCAGCCTGAAATGGGTACCAGGTAATATTCTGGGAAGTAAAGGTGGCTGGCATGATGTTCACCACATCACCCACCAAGTGCTGAGTGGTCTATACAAACATAAAAAGGGATCAGTAATAACTAAAGCAAAGGTCACGAAGAAGAGAAGGAGGAGGAGTATAAAAATAATAATCATCTTCTCCTTCGCATTCACTGGTTATTTGTCCACCTATGGATTTTTTCTTGTTCCAGAACCTGAGTGTCGCATGCATATCTGTTTTACAGGAATGAATTATTTGTGTGCAGTCAGTTGGTTCCTTGCCTCTCAGGTAGATGCACTATGACTTTAAAGGAAGCCCACAATTAGTCGACTCTTACGGCATACTTGTTGGAAGGGTAGTGGGTCTATTCGTGTTTTCCCCACAATGGGGCCCCGGAAAGTACTCCCACACAGGGAGTAATAATAATAATAAGAAGAAGAAAAGATCAATATCTAGTATAAACAATGAAACTCCATTATGCAAGTGCATTATAAGGTAAATGTCTATCTCCTTTACACTATGCATGTCACTTACTTGTCAACCATGTTTTCCTCTGATATAGCGCCTATATTCAAAGGGTCGCAGACTAAATGTCTTAAATAACCCCAAACAAAATGCAGTAAAACAAAATTACTTGAAAACATGTTGATCAAAGCAGACATGGACAGATAAAACTATGCTTAAACGTCAGGGAATGTGCTGACTATATTAATATCTACCTCTTGAGCTCTCAAAACAACAAAAGTGGTTATGTTTGTTTTTAATAACAATATTTCACAAATACAATTTAAAGCTTTTAGAACTGAAATAATAACAAAATATGAATGGCTCAGCCACAATGAGATTGCACAAAACCTTGGAAACAAATTTATGTACATGTACTAATAAATATAATGAAAGCAATAATAAAAATCACAATAATAAAGCATCTTGTCAACAAGTAATGGCATCAAGCACTAACAAAAATGGAACAACTTTCATCATCACTATTGTGTGCCCTGCCGATAAGTGCAGGCAGTCATGGTTGATCAATTCAAACAATCACAAGAATAAAGGATCAGGTCAGTGCTCTGGTCCGGCTCCATCCATCAGGCCTTGCTATCCAGGTAATAATCTCTTCGCCTGTTTTTGTTGTTGTCGTTGTTGCCAATGTCCCTATGTTCTCACAGTCTATTCATTCTCTTAACATACCACACAAAAAAGCGACTATCTTCATTTAATTTTTCTAGAACCAGTTTACGGGTTTCCTCCGTCTAAAGACAGGCTGCCTAATTTGTTTTCTATCAATCCAGGATATTGTGTACACCCTTCTCAAAAACCACACGTCCGCTGCCAGTAAGTGTTTTCTGGCTTGTCTGCTTACAGCAGAACAAAGTACTGAATCTAAAATGGCTTATGGCAATAATGTATCACAAAAAGCACACTATTACATCTGACACTGAATATAACCACACAACAAATGTCTAATACCAAGAGAAAGCTAAAAAACTATTGTCCAGATCATAGAATTACCTAAGAGGACTAGACAATCTTCCCAGGTGTAACTAAGTTCTCTCAGTCTATTTCTTCTCACAATACACCTGGATAATGCTGACTGTTTTCGTTACTTTCTCTAACCAGTTTACAGTTTTCATCTGCCTCAAGGACATTATTATTTTTGACAGTGAGTATAACTACACAGCTGATGTCTAATGCCAAGAGAAAGGCAAAATATAGTCCAGATCACAGAATTACCATGAAGGACATGAGGGAAGTTTAGCCAAGGTAGCGTTCTGGCTAGACGTTTGCCTACCAACCTGAAGGTCATGGGTTCGATTATGCACTGAGATGGATTTTTTGAAACCTGACCTTGGCTACCAAGTCTACCTGGCCTAAAATGGGTACCAGGTAATGTCCTGGGAAGTAAAGGTGATAGGATTAATGTTGACCACATCATGACACTGTGTGCAGAATGTTCTACAAGATATGAGTCAAGCATCCTATGCCCAATCAGTCACAGGTGTAAAAAAGTACTCTGCTTTTATTTTCCTTGTGAAAGATTCATGTCTTGGCATGGTCTGGTGTGGGACCATTAGTGTTGGCACATCTGACTGCTGCTGTACGCATTATTTGCAGAGGCTTCAAGATTAAGCTGGGACTGAGAAATTTTTCCCTAGTTTTAAAAAAGGACAGTGAAAGACATTTTGTGTGATTTTTATGGCTTAGGAAAAGATATGGGCTGAATTTAGAACTTTGACTAAAACTAATGACTTATATGAGAACGCAATGGATATAAATGTTTGGCTTGAGTTGTTTGAGAGGCTTTCCATAATAGGGGTGGAATCAGGTGGTGGTGTGAATGTGTAGGTGTGTGCATGTATAACACCTTTGGTTTTCTTATCTTGTAAGAATGTACAGCCTATTTGAAACTTAGCTTGTTCCAGTCGGAGGTGGACACCACATATCGAAGCCAATCTGCTCTATAAAGCAGTGTAGGACACGAGGGTCTTGCGCCTAAATATGTAAGGTCACAGAGCTAGTGCAGCTGCCAAGAACTGTGCAGATTAGAATGTTTATTTCTGCCCCTGACAGAAAAAACCTCCATCACCTTATAGAGGTTTTGAACCCTGGTGTCCTGCATGATAGTCCAGCTTTATAAGCATTTTGCCAGCTGCTGCCAAAACGGAAAAAAAGGTATCATTTCAATGCCATAAGGTACATGGTCCTAGTCTCAATTTTAACAGACCAACTGGCAGTAGATGGCTAATTTGGTCAGTATAGTGCGGGCCTCATTTATTTCCCAGAACACCTCATCCATTTTTAGGCTGGAAACCCAAGTTAATTATAAAAATCTGCATCAATAAAGCCAACCTATGACCACCAAGATGGTAGACTGTTAGCCACTGCACTATCATAATTCCTGTTCAAGAAGCAACAAGAACCAAACTGGTATCTTGTATATATGGCATAACCTCCATGCCAGTTTGGTTCAGAAACCTAACACTGTCGTTAGTTATCCCAAATGAATTCCCAGAACATCCAAACATTCAGAAAATGGTGATAATTCCAAGTGAAATAAAATGGAAAACTTCACACAGCTGACTTTGCAGCCACATGTATACAAAATGTAAGACTGGTAAATCAGCCATGTGCACATGTGAATTGGCACCTGAGACAACAGATCACTTTCTCCAAGACTGTCCAAATACAACATATAAAGCTAAAACTTCTGGCCAAGAAAAACACAGGTGGAAGCCAAACTTTATGGGCTGCTGAGCGAATTTAAAAAAAAGACAGTGAAGTTCATACTAGAGACAATATCATAGATACAGATAATCTGTTTTAAACTCCCCAGTTGACTTTTCCAGCTTACCAGAATTTTAATCCACTGTCAAACTCTCTTTAACTCACTTTGCCAACTCACCCAGCATTTTATCCAGCTGTCAAGCTTTGACTCAAACTTTTAAACTCACTTTGAAAAATCAACTGAGTATTCTGTTCCTCTGTGAAACTCTCTCTCTCTCTCTCTCTGTTAAATGAATGATTTATTCTTTCCCTCAGTCAAAATTTTGCTAATTCACTTTGACAAATTAATGAAGTATTCTCTCCCACTCTAGCATCCATGTGGAGATGTGTAAGTATGAATGCATTTTTTTTAATGAATGTTTGTGTGAATGTGTATGCAAATTTGAATATATATATATATATATATATATATATATATATATATATATATATATATATATATATATATATATATATATATATATATATATATATATATATATATATATATATATATATATATATGTGTGTGTGTGTGTGTGTGTGTGTGTGTGTGTGTGTGTGTGTGTCTATATTTACATGTGTGAATGTTATATATAGGAGTTTCTGGGTGTGATAAGAAAGCAAATGGTTGCATGAGTGTATGTGTAGGTATGTACATGTTATGTCTGTCTGTGTTAATGTGTATGTATGAATATATATGTGTGTGTGTGTGTAGAAGTGTAAGTGTACATATGTCTGTGTGTATCTTGGAGTGACATTTATACATACATATTTATGCATGTGATTTGGTAAAATTAATTAGTGTGTGTGTGAGCATGGTGTGTGCATGTGTGCATGAATTGTGGGTATGTTAAGTTTTTGTGTGTACAGTTCTGTGTGTGCATGTATGTACGCATGCATGTAAGTATGTATATTTGAATGTATGTATTTGCCATCCATGCTTTTGTATTTTATACCCTACAACGATACTAAGTATTTTTACTAATATGAATATAACATGCTTTGTAGATAATATTACAAACACGTGTGAAAAATGAGTGTGTATGGAAAGGCTGAATGTAAGATGGGTCTATGTGCCCAATTTGTGACCTCTGAAAAATAAAGTTCTGTTCGCTCATTCTCTCTGTCATACTTTGTCTCTAACTCATTTTTGACTCACCCAGCATTTCCTTCCTCTGCCAGACTCTCAATTTTCCCAGATAACAACACCTTTTCCTAAACCTCCCTTCACATTATGTGACCGAATGACGAGTTCCTTATCCTGAAGTATATAATCCTTAGTATTAGTTAAGTGTCCTTATGCACTACCAGATACACATCTTCTTAGCCATCCAACAACATGTTGTGCCATCACACATTCTATTGGACTCAGTCTAGTTCTCTAATCCATTCTATCCTCTGCAATCCCTATAATATCATGGATGGAATCCAGTCCAGCACCTTTGGCCTCTCTCACCAATGTTCATCTTATGGTTTCACTTGGACATCCTTATTTCCTTAATCCATTTGTTTCCTATTTCAGTAGGCATGCATGGAACATTTAAATTATTGAAATGAAAGACAAACAATTTGTCCTAGAAATTAAGATTAAACTCTAGGTCCTCATCTTCTTTCACATTGGCTTGCTGAGCTCGGAGGTACTCCATGTACATCTGCCGAGTAAACTGGAGCGTGTGGTTGGCATCATGCTTGCGTACCAGCCTATCAAAGTACATGGCAATCTCCTCATAACACATTTCCTGACTCAGAATAAACTCACGGTGCTGGAGAAGCAAAGTCAAACTCAAGAACATCAGAAATGGATTCCCCGCTCCAAACTCCTGAGGTGGTGGCAGTTTCGAGGGATCTCTTACTGGTGTGCCTGTAAACAGACTGCACGTGGTCTCTGAACTGCCAAATTCTTCAGTTGCTTCCTGGCAATCGGAAATGAGAGAATCTGACAAGTTCTTAGTGATTTCAGATTTATCCGTCTCTGCACGAAAAGGAAGGTACCTGCTGGCAAGTGGGGAAAGAGTCTTTGGCGTGATCAAATTCAAACCAGCAGCTTTTGGCGAGGTATCAGTGGCTTTTATGTCTATAATACGGAAATGAGTGGAGACTCCAGGATCTTCTGTCATCATTAAGATCATGACTACAGTGTTCATACAGTTGTCTATTCTTTAAAACATGTCTGATGTTATCTATTTTTTGGATGTTGTCTAGTTTTTGATGCACACAGTATGTAACAGAATGGTCTATCTTAGGAAAACTGGTGTCCCTGACTTCTCTATCACTGGGAGATGTATCAAATGAAGAGATACTGCTCCGATTGGTTCTGACATCATCACAATGTGACAATGAATATGTGCTCATATTGTTGTTAGCTCTAGGAATTACGCTGGCTGTGGAATTAGCAGTCTGTGTTCCTCTGTGAAGGATCCCACCTCGACGCAAAGCAAGCAGCTTGGTGTACATGTTGTGCTGTTGGGAAAATGTTGGTGAGCCAGGAGATGTGGAAAGCAGCTGGCAAGAATACCCGGCATCTGCCAGTTTTATCTCGTGTTGTGGTGGACAGTGAGGCAATGTCGCCCACATGACTTCAAGGACATGAAGAGCATCATTAAAGGGAAACTCTCGTTTCATCTCCAGTAGAAACCAACGGTAACAAAAAAACATGTCCCCCGCAGAATTCTGCAGCAAATATTCATACAATACCGGATCATACATATTCAGCAATTCAGACAAATGGTGGAATTTCATCATAATTGCGCTTCCTTCCGTGGTGAAATTTGTGTGCAGTCTTCTCATGAGGGCACAGAAACAAATATAAGCTTGACCTTCATTTTTCTGCGTGACAAGCAGAGGAGAGGCAAGGTCACTCATCCCTTGACAGTAAGAGACATCCGGGTGGGTCAAGGCAAAGGTTACCAGAATATGAAACAGGGACAGGGTATTTTTATTCTCATCACTTCCCGAATAAAAACTGTGCGACCTGTCTGTGCGCAGCACATCCTTTTCCACCATATTGACAACATGCTTCACTTCCTCCATGACTGCACCATTGCGAAGTTTTTCACACCACTCCTCTTTCAATTTTCGATATTCCTCCTCTTTACACTTCAGGTACCTAAAGCGGTCTTTACTTGAGAGGTGTGCAGGGTAGATGCTGAGTAAATGGCGCCAGGCAACTCGCCGTAAGGAATGTTCAATGCCTCCTTGATAGACCGACTGTCGGAACTCATTTGGCTTAATCATGAAACCGGAGCTGTCCAGATAGTTGCGGAATTCTGTGTCACACATTGGGAGTTTGGCTGGTTTTGTCACACCATTTTCTGGATGCTTAAAACCTAGAAAAAAAAAATCACAGCCTGCATAAATTAAAGGCTTATAATATCAAAGGAACATAACTAACTTTAAAAGCAATTAGGCAATTACATCACTGATTCCTATAATATCAAAGAAACATAAGTAACTTTAAAAGCAATTAGGCAATTACATCACTGATTCCTAGAATATCAAAGGAACATAAGTAACTTTAAAAGCAATTAGGCAATTACATCACTGATTCCTATAATATCAAAGGAACATAAGTAACTTTAAAAGCAATTAGGCAATTACATCACTGATTCCTATAATATCAAAGGAACATAAGTAACTTTAAAAGCAATTAGGCAATTACATCACTGATTCCTAGAATATCAAAGGAACATAAGTAACTTTAAAAGCAATTAGGCAATTACATCACTGATTCCTATAATATCAAAGGAACATAAGTAACTTTAAAAGCAATTAGGCAATTACATCACTGATTCCTAGAGTGATGACACCTGTTAATGTGTTACTAGTTGTCCATGTATTGAAGCACACTTACAACTTGTCTTGATGTGCTGTTATCATCTGGAGGTGGCAGGTTCAAATCCTGGTATGGTAACAATACCTTTGATTTGTTACGTCTAGTGTGCTCTCCTATCTCCACTTTTTCCCTTTGCTTCTATTAGTACCAATGCCCTCCCTATGTGAGTTCTAGTGCCCCATTTAGGGGAGAGGGGTTGGAGGATAGTCGATAAAAGGTGACTAATTAGGAGTTCGTTAATATGTGCACATACTGCAGCCTAGCTGTAAACCACAGCATAAAGTGTCAACTGCCATTTAATGGATGAATGCAGAAGAGGCAGATATTGCCGTCAATACTTGTAATTTTGAGTGTTTTGTAATGCCTAGCCACTTATTCTCCTTCCCCCTTCTCTCTCTCTCTCCCTCCCTCCCTCTCTGTCTCTGTCTCTGTCTCTGTCTCTCTCTCTCTCTCTCTCTCTCTCTCTCTCTCTCTCTCTCTCTCTCTCTCTCTCTCGGGAAGGAGGCAAAGGGCAGAACCAATGGTGCAGTCAAGTTTTTTTACAATTTGCAGATATAGTGTGGAGAGAAAGTTATGAAGAATGAATGTGTTTTTGTGTATAGATGCTAGTGTTACAGCTTAGCAAGTAAAGAAAGGTAGATATTGCCCTCCTCCTTTCACTTCTGTGACTGGCCTTTTCTTTCCAACTGGTGACTCCAAGCATTTGTAGATCTGCCTGCATTTTTTCTTTCCATCATCTTTTCAGTCCGCCATGAGGTCCACGGCCGCTCAACTCCATTAATATGCAACAAAGCAGTGAAAGCTGTCACAGCAATAAAAATCTTGCTCTGAAGTTCATACAACATACCTCGCTTTGGAAAATCGCCTCATCTGCAGTCTAGGTGTTCTTAGTCTAGAAGGCATCAATGTCCAGCATACCTTCATCTATAGTTTTACTACTGTCACATTATCCTAATTTGATTTTTACTGTACTAATTTTATGTTTATTTTAATTAATTTTTTTTTTATTTCATATTATTACTTTATTCTATCTCTTATCAGTACCATTGATGGATATTAACAGTTCGTATTTCTACTAATCTTTTATTCTTCTTCTGTGGCTTAGGGGTTGCGAACGTGCTTCGTAATGCTGGGTTGCTGGATTTGATCCCAGCTGCAGGCCTTGCGCCTTGCATTGGTTTCGACAGTGGTATCGAGAAGCCGACCGTCCAGAAAACAATGGAAAACTACTGGATGTAAACTTGCCTAGAAAAACCACAGAAAATGCTTGGGTTGGTTCTGCAACATCCTGTAAAGGACATGTAACTAACTTCTGACTTCTTTTATTCTTACTACTATTATATTTTATCACTATTAGTTTTATGTTTATTTTTCGAACCCTCCTTTCTTTTATTTTATTTTATTAATTCCACATCACCTTTCTTATAGTTTCTTATGTGACCCTTTGGTGGTTGGAGTACTCTCCCCTTTGTTACTGTTGTTGAGTTCAGTTTATGTCAAGAAAGGCCCAGCCGAAAAGTCGATTTGTGTTGGGTTGTTTTGTGCACGTTATTCTGCTTCCCCATTTCGTTTAGCTTTTTTGTCACAGTTAACTGGATTAATTTTCATTAATGAGCAGTTTCTGTCTGTCATCTGCTACTGTCCTCTCTCATGATGCCAGTGATCAATAGTGATTTAATAAGATAATGAATTTTGGTGTTGCTTGTCACTCTCGAGGTCCTGCTGTTTGCATCCCTGATGAGTCCAAATTTGTGTCACAAGACTCTGTTTTCAAAAATGTGTAATAAGAGCCGTCTCTAACTTATTCTGACTAGTCAATGAAGAGCCATACAAGATACCTGGTCTTAGTGTTTTATATACTGTGATCTTAGTGGTAAGAGATAGTCTTACTGTCTCATTTTACAACACTATAAATGTCTTTCATACAATGCTCACCCATGGCCCTTTGCATGCTGCTGACAGTCCTCACCAATTTATGTGTGATGGAGCCAGTGACTGCACTCAGTATTGAATGTTTGTCAACCAAACCAAGTAACTGATGATGAGGTATTTCAACAGGAGCAATAACATCCCAGTCTTCAAGATCTGCAATCAAGATACAAAAACCAATATTATACAATACATCACTCAGCATTCAAAGTCTGACTGTGGCAACAACACTTTGTACCATATTCATAGAGAAACAGCAGTTAAAGTGGTTTAGCCAACTTGTCAGAATGCAGCAACATCAAATACCATCACAGACACTAGCTCTCAGAATATCGGCTACAAAATGAAGAGAACGGCCACACAACAAATTTGGATCAACAACATTAAAGACACTTTAAGCCTTCACAGCAGGACAAAAGCCAGTGCCAGTCAGCGTGCACCGGATCACAAATTATTCCTCCCCATGTTACTTATCCATGGAAGTGGTTTATGATGATAATGATTCAAAGTCTAAGAAGTTTCTGATCCTTAATTTTACCCACAGAAACAAATCAAGCACACAATGTCTGTTTAATGGGAAGTATGCAGCAGACCTTCATTTGTGACTTTTTTTAAACAGCAGCTGTCAGCCAGCCTGAGACTGAATCAGTGTGGTTAACACCTGTCCAACTTTAGTTTGTTGTGAAATGATAAAGGGACTTCTGGAAATAGTGCTGTTGCATCTATTTTTTTTTTCTTTCTAAAATCTTGGCAATATTTGGTCTTCTTCTTCTTCATGTTCACCAGCTGTAAACTTCTGTGAAGAGCTGTGGTTGTTCATCCACCTCTGGACTTTAGTCTTGATCCAGAACTTAAGTTTTGTGTACACTTTTGTACAGACCTGGCTTATTTGTTAGCAGACTGTTGGTTCCTCGTCTCTCTGATATGAAAGGAAACTCCCCTAATTAGTCAACTTTAATTACATGCTTGCTGGGGGGGGGAGGGGGGAGGGGGGGACCAGTGTCGCACAGCAACAGCACTCATGATATGATTCATCTAGTACTTATTTTAGGCCTGCGCTGACTTGGTAGAAGATATATTTTGTGTGTGTGTTACAATTGGAATTTTAACTTCTAAACATCAGGAAAGCATGCTTGCCACTGCACTACCAAGGCCCCAATAAATCGTGTACAGCTGACTATTTACAAAAAAAATTGGTACAAAATCATCATAAAAGAGAAAAGACACAGTAAGAATTTCATTATATAATGCCAAGACAAACCTTCAAAAAGTCGCACATCAACTCTGAGTTTAAGATAAGGTTCAGAAGCACACTGAAATGCAGCATCCATGTCCCAATCAGACAGCATAGACTGGTAGACATTTTGGCCCTCAGAGTCATACGTCATATAGCTGATGGTGAAATCACTGCAAATAGTAAGCAACCATACAGTTTCACCCAAAATATAAATATATATATATAAGTAACAAATACAGTAAAACACCCTTTTTACTCAAGTGGTGCATCGGGCATATGTCAGACTCATAGTTTTATAGACCAATCAACACTCGATATGTCAACATCAGGCCGGCTGCCACCTTCACTTCACAAGACAATGCCTGGTACCAATTTTAGGCTCCCAGTGGAGAATGGACACTGAAAGAAATTATTCCAAGCTCAGTACAGACCAATTCATTACCGGTTGGATTTTACAGCCAAAGTTTTCTACATGATGAAGTAGTCAGTTTCACACCAACCATCTTTAGTTACCTCTTATGACAGGGCTATTCAACTATGTTTAATTAATTAGGAGCCAAATTTTGAAAATGGTGATCGTCACAAACCAGAGGCATAAACCCTGGCAAAGAAAGATCATTAATACAATACAACTGGCAGTGATCCGCGGGCCCTTTGCTAGGCATGTCAAAATAGGTGACCTTTTTTAGGGCTGTTTCCTCCAAAGTCAAGAAACCAACAGTCTCCATACAAATAAGCCAGATCTGTAAAATGCATATGCATACAAAACTCAAGTTCTGGAACAGAACTGAAGTCCAGATGTGGACAAACAACCAGAAATTTCTTCCAGAGTTTACAACTGATGAACACTAAGAAGGACAGACTGTAATAACATAAAGACAGATCAGCATTCTAAGATAATATAATCTATTAGAAAAATAATATAATATAAGATGATATAATCTAAGATAACATAATTTTAGATAATTTATTAGAAAATAACTGCAGCAGAACATTACCTCCTGATTTCAAATGCTTTTGCCAGGATGCCCTGCAGCATTTCAAATGATGTTATTTGTGGATCAATGGAAAATTTCTTGTACTCTGCTTGTGTCTTTCCATCACATTTCTACAAAACATGACAATCAACATTATGATCAGACATGCTGTATACAACATTTTGTGTTTGTAAACCAACTGTACTGTATATCAACAAGCCACAACTGCTACAGCAATATTTAGTTAGTTCTTGAACTCTTCTTCGTCTTCTTTGCATTCACCGCCTGTAAACTCTGGTGGAAAGTTTTGGCTGTTCGTCCACTTCTGGACTTTGGTCATGTTAAGAATTTGAATTTTGCATGCACAGCCATTTTACATATCTGGCTTATTTGTGTGCATACTGTTGGTTCCTCGCCTCTCAGGCTGATCCACTCTGACTTCAAAAAGAAACACCCCTAATTAGCTACCTCGCAAATTTGGTCTATTCTTTTTGACTTAAAATTTGGACTGGAACCCACGTAGGGAAATTCTTTAATTGAAAAATAAGAAAACATAAAATCCTTTTATCAAACGATGTAAGACAATACCTTTTTTTGAAGAAGACAAAAGAAAACGTGAGACTCTTTGCTTAAGACACAGGACAACAATAAATTTTTGTATCAGAAGAAACAATAAAACAATAAATTATTCTAGACAATAGAACAATAAATTATTCTAGACAACAGAACAATAAATTATTCTATCAGAAGACACAATAAGTTCTTCTATTTTCTTCTTTCTTTTTCTTCCTGTTCACCGGTGGAAAGCTCTAGCTGTTAGTCCACCTCTGGATTTAAGTCTTGATCCAGAACCTCTGTGCTGAGAGCACATTCCTTTCACACATCTGGCTTATTTTTATGCAGACTCTTGGCTCCTTGCCTCTCAGGCAGATGTACCTCAACTTCAAACGATGCTCCCAATTAGTCGGCTCCTACGTCATGCTTTTGAGGGGGCAGTGGGTGGGTCTATTCTTGTTTTCTCCACAGTAGAGCCCCAGAAACCCTATAGGGAAATTCTTTAATCGGAAGACCAGTGCTTTATTAATATCCTACCCCCAACAGGGTAAAATTCACAGGTCACGGGACAGTCTAATATTTCAGGGGGTGGTAGATAAGCTGCATGCAGTTTTAGGAACCTAGGCTGCATGCAGTTGTGGGACCTAGACTGCATGCAGTCGTGGGATCTAGGCTGCACTCTCTCGAGTGACGTAGGTGGGTTGGGGTTAGGGCCAGTTCTAGATGTTTTGGGGTAGTCAAAAGCCTAAGAAATCCGGGAAACCCAGTCTTACCATCCTCTAAAATGTTGGACTGTCCTGTGACTTCATCTGAGGTAGGATATTAATAAAGAACCAGAAGACCTACAAGTTTACTAAAAATACTAATGACCTTGACAAATTTTTAAAACAAATATACGCTGATGGCAAAATTAAAATCCATTACAAATAATAAACAGCTGTTTCAACATGTCTTTTTAGACTAAAGTATTCTGTACATGACACCATTTTATTTCAATAATGAAACTTGTATCATTATAAGACCAAGTAACTTGCCCCTACTATAAAATGCAGGTCAAGACAAAGTCCAACAAGGACAAACCCCTCTAGTTCATTACCACTGCCGTGGCTGATAAAAACAGCTAATGATCTGATCAATATGTGTTATCACAAAGCTGACGTGAAAAACAGCCTAATATCAGTTAACTTTGAAAGGGATCATTCAGTTCAAGTTTGTCCAATTTCTAATGAAATTTTTGTTTTTTAAATGCCTTTTCCACAAGTGAGACTGGCTACAATGTGTCCGCTACCTACTTACTATGAGAATATTAAGTATGAGGCCCCTATCTCTTCCACAGTGCAACTCTTGCACCACTGTCTAAATGCCAATTGAGCAGTCTTTTTCTAAACTGCCCACTGTGGGAATCAAACCATGTTAAAAATCAAAGCTAACAAACAAAAAAGCAACTAATTAAGTTTGCTTTGTTTGTGAATGTGCGAAGATTTTATGTCTTTGGGCTGAAATTTGGGCAGAGATTTCCCAGCCTAGCTAATTAAGGGTTTGTTGAAATTTTATATTTTGGGCTGAAAGGCACAGATTTTGCAAGACAACATACCAACTGCCCTTTTAAGCGCACATGAAGATGAAGAAGAACTGGCACTCAGATTGCCTAAGCCAGGGCTATTCAACTAAGTTTACTCTGAGGCCAAAATGTTAAAAAAAAGTTAATTGTCACAGGTCAGTACCCGAGCCCCAGCATAGAAAGATCATCAATACAATGCAACTGGCAATCATTCGCGGGCCACTTTCTAGGCCTCCTCAGGTCAAATTTGGCCTTGTGGGCCGCTCCTAAGCCTTTAAAAGGGTCTTGTCTATGAGAGTAAGGCTGATATAGACTTCTTAATCTACTTAGTAACAAAATACCATCTTCAGATAAGGACTGGGATGAGGGGAGAGGTGAGTAGACTTTTCTTGATGGAAATTGAAAAACACAAAGCCCCTCTACCAATTTAAGATGGAGAAATTAAAATATGACAGATGATAATATGGTCCTCTTCATAATGACAGATTTTTTAAAAATGTATTTCGCCACATAAGCAGAATATAGTAACTAATGATACACATGATAAGAGTTCAGTGTGTCATTTCAGGTTTTCAACTCATGAAGATCAAATTCACTGCACTGTTTTCTTGCATAAGGCTCAGTCGTTGTTCACAGAATGGCTGGCTGGCTGGCTGGCTGCTGAAAGTGTTGCACAAAGCACATATCTGTAATCCCCATGTGGGTTCTGGGCCCCATTGTGGGGAAAACAAGAATAGACCTAGCATGATGTAGGAGTCAACTAACTGGGTGCTTCCTTCAAAGTCAGAGTGCATCTGCCTGAGAGGCAAGGAACCAACAATCTGCATACAAATAAGTCAGATCTGTAAAACTGATGTGCATGCATCACTCAGGTTCAGAACATGGCTAAAGCTCAGAGATGGATGAACAACCAGATTTTTCCACCGGAGCTTACAGCCGGTGAACGTAAAGAAGAAGAAGAAGAAGAAGAAGACATTGTTACTGCAGTGACAATCCCCAGGAATCTCTGTATAAACTGTTTATGGACCCCCAAAAAATACAGACCTCAAACAAACCCATGACCAAAACAATGCAAGGCAAACTGCTTAACCACTCAGCCATGGAGACTCCCTGTGAGAGTCTAATAAAAGTAAATTATAATGTATGCATATGACCTTCAATCACTGTGCTTTTCAGTACAAAAGATTATATGGTTGATTAAATTAACCGCACGATAAGGAAACAAATGTTTCACTAGCTGCAGACCTTAGCCTCTAAGTTGCCCATATCCACATCTGAAGTGATCTTTTTATATCCAATGGTACTTATCTGCCGATAACATCCAGCGACACTTAAAAGCCATAAAACATCACTAATTCACATTGTACATATGACCAGAATGTAATCTTAGCAGGTGATACGTGTGATGTAAAAGGGATCATTACAAACACTTCACCCTATAATTAACATCACTTGAGCGTTACCTTCTCTGTGTATGACCATGAGGTGCCTTAAGCCAAATAACCAGGATATGGGGTTAACAAACTAGTTCTGTCACTAGAATAAATAGCCTTTATTATAAAATAAATGCTGTGACAGCATTTCAAATTAGTTCAGTGGCAATTATCATTATCAACTTTGGACCTGCTGAGATGGCAATTAGTGATTTATAAATGAACCCTTTTTGTGCCAAATTCATATTAACTATCAACTCTTTCGGTCCCAGACAGTTGTTACTTTAACTCCTGATTTCCCAGTATACAAGCACCATTTTCCCTATCTTCAGTTATGCTGGGCATAGAGTGATATACCTATATTTTATACATCAATCAGCACTCAGTGAGTGATGTGGTCAACATCAAGCTGACCACCTTTACTTCCCAGGACTTTGTGCTCGAGGTCCTTCGGAAGCAGGTGAACAATAAAAAAAAAGTTAGTTGCGTATCCTTTACAGGATGTTGCAGAATCAACCCCAGTATTCTTTTGGCTAATGTGGTCCTTCCAGGCAAGTTCACATCCAGTAGTTTGCCACTGCTTTCTTTTTTGCACCTCAAACTCATTATCAAATTGATTTATATGTCAGTTGTGATAAACCAACTATATAATACAATAAATCAACACTAATTTGTGGATAGGTCTTTAACTAAACAACCCTGAGCATCCTATCTTGGGTTTCGCTCACTAACAATATAACTTGCACAAGAAAATCACAAAATTAACAGAGTTTTTCTTTGATCCCCTGACAAACTCGTTGTAGTGTCCTTATTTATTAACATTACTTCTTAAAACTAATGGAAGTAAAACTTCCAAAACTCTACAAAGACAGTTTCATTATAAAATGTATATTGTAAAGAAGAAGAAAACTACATATGATATTCTTCATTAGTGAAAAATAATTTTCTCCATGTCAAGAGTATCTGGAGCAAGCATACCTATCATTACAATCGCCCTGTTTTCCCCGTGTGGGTTCCGGGGCCCTATTATAGGGAAAACAAGAATAGACCTACTGCCTACCAAAATGCATTTCGTAAGAGTCGACTAATTGGGAGCTTCCTTTGAAGTCGGAGTACATCTGCCTGAGAGGCAAGGAACTAGCAGTCTGTATACAAATAAATCAGATCTGTAAAACAGATGCACATGCAACACTCAGGTTCTGGAACAGGACTGCAGTCCAGATGTGGATGAACAACCAGAACTTTCTGCCAGAGTTTACAGCAGGTGAACGCAAAGAAGAAAAGAAGACAATCGCCTTGTTAAGTTTTCAAATTATTAAAATTTATTCATGTTCATGAATTTCTAAGTGGACTATAGAAATGAAACACTGCTATGGCTGCAGACTGTAACTAGAATTGAACACTGCTCTGGCTGCAGACTGTTACTAGAATTGAACACTGCTCTGGCTGCAGACTGTAACTAGAATTGAACACTGCTCTGGCTGCAGACTGTTACTAGAATTGAACACTGCTCTGGCTGCAGACTGTTATTAGAATTGAACACTGCTCTGGCTGCAGACTGTTATTAGAATTGAACACTGCTCTGGCTGCAGACTGTTACTAGAATTGAACACTGCTCTGGCTGCAGACTGTTATTAGAATTGAACACTGCTCTGGCTGCAGACTGTTACTAGAATTGAACACTGCTCTGGCTGCAGACTGTTATTAGAATTGAACACTGCTCTGGCTGCAGACTGTTATTAGAATTGAACACTGCTCTGGCTGCAGACTGTTACTAGAATTAAACACTGCTCTGGTTGCTGAAGATGAGGACAGAAAGCTTTTGAAAATGTCTCGAGTGTTGTGATGTCAATTGTTAACTCAGGAAACAGTTGGGGTAGCAAGACCAGTACTGGAATATGATTCAGAGCTGAACATGAAACTTACAAAGCTTAGGCCAACTCTGATCATCTATCCTCCAATTCATCATCATCATGTGCCCTGCCAACCGGCATAGGTGATCATGCGTCTCCACAGATCAAAATCCTTGGTTGCCTAGAACAGCTCTCTTGTTGATATCCCTTCATGTCATTGTTTCAGCCTATCCAGCATCATCTTTCTTGGTCTGCCTCTACCCCTCTTTCCACTGATCTTTCCAGTTGTTACAATGTTTTCCAATGCCTCTCTTCTCATTATGTGGCCAAAGAACAATGTTTGTCTTCTTCTTATTGTTTTATATATCTACTTTCACTAGTTCTTTCAAACAATCATTATTAGTTTCTCTGTCTGTCCAAGCTATTCAGAAAATTCGTCTCAAAAACCACATCTCTGTTGCTTCCAAATTCTTCTTAATTTGTTCACTGACATTCCAAGATTCCTCCACGTATTTTAGATTATCTGCTTCAAACTGATTCCAACCCAATGCCGAAAAACAACAAGAATAACATCTGTCCATGCTGAAAATTGTAACATATGCCAGTGAAAGTTGGGGAAACACTAGAGGAACAGAATGTGAATTAAATGCATTTGAAAACAGATGTCTAAGAAAATGTAAGAACATTAAATGGGAGAAATTCAAGAAAGGCAAAGAAGTGAGAGAAATGTCTAGACAATCCTGGTATCAGCAGTTATAAGAAAAAGAAGATGGCAATATCATGAGGAGAAACAGATGGAGAATCACTAAACAGGCACTAAAACAAGAAACAAATGGACTGAGGAAACGAATGTTGTTTACAATGAGGCCGCAGAACCCACAATGAGGCCGCAGAACCCACAATGGGGCCCCAGAACACACAATGGGGCACCAGAACACACAATGGGGCCCCAGAACACACAATGAGGCATCAGAACACACAATGAGGCCCCAGAACACCCACAACGAGGCCCCATTATCCACAATGAGGCCCCAGAACACACAATGGGGCACCAGAACACATAATGAGGCCCCAGAACCCACAATGAGGCCCCAGAACCCACAATGGGGCACCAGAACACACAATGAGGCACCAGAACCCACAATGAGGCAGCAGAACCCACAATGAGGCAGCAGAACACACAATGGGGCACCAGAATACACAATGAGGCCTTAGAACACACAATCGGGCACCAGAACCTACAATAAGGCCCCAGAACACACAATAGGGCACCAGAACACACAATGAGGCCCCAGAACACACACAGGGAATAAATTTGATAGCCTCATGCTACCAGATCAGTAGATGATTTTTTATTTGATACCTCAGAATTCTATAAATCTATGTGGCAATTATATAACCAAATCATGTAACAATAATATAATTTAGTAACTTGATATGAAATATAAGGCAATAATTATATTAAAATAACAATAATAAAATTGTGCCATCTCCACAAGAGATATCGGCCGCAGAGTAATGTATCCATTGCTAACAATGAGAATATTATGTGGGGGGAGGGAGGGGGGGGGGGGGGTACCATCTCTTTCGCAGCAACCTCAGACCACGTGTCTGAAAGCCACAAGATTTGTCTTTTAATAATAAAAGTAATAATACAATAATAGTGTTGTAAGTTGTGGACAGTAAGCTCACCCATGCCAGCCAGCAAGTCACTTGATGATGATGATGAAAAGGAATTATTTATTTTATTCTAACAGTTAATGGACTGATACATTCGCCAATCAGCAAGACACTTGATGATGATGATGAGCAATTATATTATTAAATGAATTCTGAAAACTAATGGACTGATACATTTGCCAATCAGCAAGACACTTGATGATGATGATGATGATGATGAGGAGGATAAAAAGCAATTATTTTATTATTTTACATCTGATAACTACTAATGGATTGATACATTTGGTATCAAAACTTAAAAGATATATACACGCATCACTATTAAAATGAGCAATAGTTACCTCTTACCCAAAAAAAAAATCATAAATGAAAACATTTCATTGTGGTGATTTAATGTGTGTACAAGTAAAACATGGATCAAACTAATTAAATTTACATCTTTCAAAAGACACCCCACTTTTATAGTTGTTACTTTACATTTCAATCATACAATGACAACAGATGAAAAAGCTTTCTTTCTATGTAATACAAAACGAATATTTAGCTTTAATCGACGATGTAATTTTTCAGATAACTGTTTTATCGGCTCTACTGGCAAATCCGGACGAAGAATAAACAGACTTGGACGACTTAGTCAGAGTTATCTCCCGTCGCCGCACTCCGAACAGTAATCGGAAAACAAACGAAACAAACGACACACTTACCTATCATCCTGCGGTTGCGTGTAGGGCTGCGTACGGTTGCGTGAGACATCGTGGCATCATCATATGGTTGCGTGCACAGTTGCGTACGGTTGCGTGAGGCACTGTGAATGGTTGTGTAGTCATCATCATGCGGTTGTTGGATTAGAGTTAGGGGTAGGGTTAGGGTTAGGGGTAGGGTTAGGGTTAGGGGTAGGGTTAGGGTTAGGGGTAGGGTTAGGGGTAGGGTTAGGGTTAGGGGTAGGGTTAGGGTTAGGGTTAGATGTGAAAATTTTGACGTAGGATTTCGAAATACTGGCCGACAATATGATGTTTGTGGGAGTGGCGCCACTGAAACTCTGCCAAATATGACGCCAACTGCGTGCGGCTGGTGCCCCCAATCGTTGGCGAATTGTGCGTGTGACCAGCCCTCGATTGTTTGTGTGTGTGTATGGGACTGTGCGCGATTATAGGGAACTCCGGCGTCAAAATTGTCAAATCTAACGCTAATCCTAACCCTACCGCTAACCCTAATCCTAATCCCTAACCCTAACCCCTACCCCCCTAACCACGCAAATTTATCGATCATTAAAGCATACAAATCGGCAAACACGAACAAACAAAACACCCCCCCCCCCCCCCCAAAAAAAACCCAGAATTGTCCTGCAGCTTCGAAAAAAAACCCAGATCTGGGGGAAACAACCAAGCATTGGCAGCCCTGATGTCGACGTGACTGTCTTCTTTGTTTCGTTGTGGCTTTTCCGATCACTGTTTGGAGTGCGGCGACGGGAGATAACTCTGACTAAGTCGTCCAAGGCTGTTTATTCTTCGTCCGGATTTGCCAGTAGAGCCGTTTTATCACTTACTTTGACTTTGATACGGATGACTTCCTTCTGGTCCATATTATAAAATCCTGCCATTTCACGTACTCAAATAACAAATCAGCAGCCGAAGCTAAACGGCTTTGAATATCTTGTGGTACAAGTTGTACTAAACCGTACATTAAAACAAAGTAAACTCTTTATCGGAACCGCTTGGAATAGTCACAAACATCAACCGGTATTTATAGGTTGAAGACATAATTTCGGCCGTTAGAAATCAACGACCCCTGTCTGCTGTATCAGTATCTGATCGAGTTGGTAACTCTTGTGGAGAAAACATTGACGCAGTTGTCGTCCCATCGGTCGCCGGCCGAACAGTGCGCAGATAACGACAAGGTGGTGTTGACAGAGATAAGTCAACTTGGGTAAATAACATTGTCAGTTAACTCTTTTAACTCTTGCAGTCTTCTATAGTCTTTATCCACACTGGTATCCTAAAGGTGTTGTACCTTAGAGTAAATACTTTGTTTTCAAGTCAAATGGTATGGAAAAGAAGGTAGGTAGGTAGTTGTACCCCACCAGGAAATCATATAGCGATAAACACTTGGTGTCACAAATTGCCGCCATGAGGATGAGGTTCACCCATGGGGAGGTCCCCAAAACCCCTTTCAGCCTTTAGGCCATATCTATGGCCTAGGCCATATTTAAGGTCCGGCTATATTAAGGGCCCCTGGCAGAAGCCAGGGTGGGGTTTCAAATAATAAAAAATTGCTTTGGCACAGGACTTGTAGTAGCATTTGAGGTGAAATGGGTTGACACAACAATGGAATAAGTCACAAAGTTGAGAAATATCATGTACCAGATAAAGATTAACTGATGAATGTATCGTGCATTCACTGGTACTAATTTTTTTTTCTTACTCCGGTTACTTTATCGCAGTGTTGATGGAGATGTAATGATCTTATATATGCTCATTTCCAGAGCGCTGAATAAGTGGATCATCATTTCTGTAAATTAAGGCTGTTATTGACGCTGTGGTTCCATGTTTAAGGTGGTCTCCACCTTGATCTCTGCTCGTTGTATTTCTTCAGCATGGCTGTCTGTGGCCGTTGGTACAATATTGCCATTTCCGATATTTTTTAATTGATCCATAAGCATTTTCCCATGCATGACTTACATTTGACTTGAAATATAAAGTGACTTGACTCGGGACTCGACTTGAAAGCATGGGACGTAGGGCTTATTGACGACAATGACTGGGGGACTCGACTTGGACTTGAAGGGTGGAGAGGGACTTAGGACTTGGTGGCAATGACTTGAGACTCGATTTGAATTTAAAGGGTGGCCAGGGACTCAGGACTTGGTGGCAATGACTTGGGACTCGATTTGGACTCGAAGGGTGGCGATTTAATCTAACTTCTGCCAGAAATGTACTGTAAATCAGTCATTATAGGTCTACGGGTCAAATTATTCAGCTGAGTATCACAATATGTTGGGTTAATATGATAAATGTCTGAGAACGAAGAAGGTAAACAAACTATATTGTCTCAGGTGACGATGAACTATATTTCTAGTGCTGTTGTCGGCTGCCGTATCCATTTACTGCATGTCTATGCTATTGGGTCGGCTCTGTGGCTATGTCGATGTGAACGCTTCGTAATGCTGGGATGCCCGGTTCGATCCCAGCTGCGGGCCATGCGCCTTGCGTTGGTTTCAACAATGGTATCAAGAAAACCGACCGTCCAGGGGGCAATGGCAAACTACTGGACGTAAATTTGCCTAGAAAAATCACGCATCAGCCAGGGGCTTTTGGGGTTGGTTCTGCAACGTCCTGTAAAGGATACGCAACTAACCTATGCTATTGGCTCTGTTGTCAATTTATATTTCAACAAGGGACAGTGATAGACATTCTGGTGTGCTTTTCGTTGGCACAGGAACGGGGTAACCAAGGGGTAACCCATTTGCTCTCAAGCTGGAATTTTGATTATCTGATTAATTAACGGTACCGCCTCTGGACTAAGCATTGAAAGTATGGCGATATGCTTAGTACAGAAAGAGTTTAATCTTTCAGTACAAGACAGAACTGGTATTATCAGTCGCCACACGCTGAGAGATATGCTAAAGATGGGATCCGAGCGCTTATGGACTTGTCCGGTGTGCAGTGAGGATAGTCTATTGATCAACTAACTAGTACAAGACAGCTGTTGTTATCAGTCGCCACACGCTGAGGGATATGCTGAAGATGGGATCCGAGATCTCATTGACTTGTCTGATGTGCAGTGAGGATAATCTATCGATCAGCTAACCTCCTCGTTCAAGACAACTAACAATACGCTTATTTTTTTTTTAATTTTTTTTTTTACAACAGTACACTTGATCATCACCATCAATCAGTTGTCCCGCTCCAGCCTGAAAGTCTTTATCTAGCCAGTTCTTCAGAACTATGTTCTGCTTCTTCTTTCGTTCGCTTGAAATAAAATAAATTATCTATATCTGCAATGTTGTCTCTAGACTTCACTGTCTTTTGTAATTCACTCAGCGACCCGTAAAGTTTGACTTGCACCGATGATTCTCTTGACCAAAAGTTTTGCCTTGATATGTTGTATTTGGGACAGTCTTGAAGGACATAATCTGTTGTCTCAGGTGCTAGTCCACATGGCTGATTCGCTGATTTTAAATTGTGTGTACATGTATCTGCGAAGTCGACTGTGTTCTGTTTCAAGTAGTAGAATAATAACTTGCTCTTGTCTGTCCATAAAATGGTAATCGTCTTGTGCCGGTTTTGGTGGCGTTCTGGTTGATTTGATTATTCTCTTCTTTTGTTGATAAGAGACTGATACGTCAGGCTGTTCTTCATTTGCACCTTCCTTAGTTAGTTTATCAGCTCTTTTTTTCCCAGGAACTCAACAGTGGGATGGTATCCATTGCATAGTTACCTTACACCTACTGCCTAGTTAATAGACTAGTGTTCGTATACCAGGTAGTTTTCCAGATAGGAGTGCCTGAAGCTCCGCTCTTGCATCTGTCAGAAATACCACTGGTTGTTAAATATGACGTATATTTAACATAACTATGTGTTTTTATAGCCATTTCATCTTTAATGCCGTGTACCCGCTGTTGCGGAGGGCTGCCTCTTCTTCTTTTTCCAGAAACTGTATCCTTTTGCCCGGGGCCCTAAACATAGCCAGGCCATAAATATGGCCACGCCCATCTTGAGCTATTTCAATAAATAAAGAAGGCTGTGATATGGCTTAACGGCTGGACGGGGTTTCTGGGACCTCTTCGCGGGGGATCCTTATCTGCATGGTCGCATTTTGTGTCACCAGGTGTTTATCGCTTTGTGTGATGTCCTGGTGGGGTACAACTTACATACATATATACCATCACCGTTCTCTCCAGGCCACCGTGACATTTAACATGGCCAGGACAGGATGCTTGTTATGGGCCAGTTTTTCCCCTATGCTCAGATTATGTAGGATATCGATGTTTGATGAGACTTGATACATATTTTTAATGATCCTCTGCCCCCCCCCTCCCCTTTCTCCCGTTTTATTAACCCTGAGTGCCCAATTCTTACTGCAGCTCAGCAAGTCACTTGATGATTTAACTCGGTGTTTCACCGCGTGGGTTTCACCCCCTGCGGGGGTGGGAATGATTCTTAAGTGGGGAGGGCAGCAATTCAAAAATCGACTCATCCAGAGTTTAAGTTAACCATTTGGCGATATTAAATATGGGACATACAAATTTGAGAAAAACTTAGTTGGGGCATGGTACAAAAAAGGTGAGGACACACTGTTTTAACTCAAAGATTGTCATTCTACAGTACACAAACTGTGGTAGCGAACAGTGTTCTTCAACATAGAGTTCGCGGACTGCCATCGGTCAGCGAATGTTATCTGGTGGTCGGCGGAAAAAAAGTCTGCCCAGTCACATAAATGCTAAATATAAATGCTCCAGAATGCGGATAAGATTTCAGGCTATCCTCGGAATAACAGTCCCAAATTATCGAAGCTAAGAAAATACCCTAACAGGGCCTCAGTCATTTGTAAATTGCGGGCCTCTCTCCGACGACTATACCGCATACCGCGGTAAAGCTTCCGCCGAGTCACCGCCGAGAGTTTCCCCTCGCGTCGCTACGCTACGCGCGGAGGGGGTCTAAACTAGATGGCTGGGACTCACGAGCAGCAGCTACCGCATCTCCTGCAGCTTCCTCCAATTTATTTGCTCGTGAGTGCCAGCCATCTAGTATAGCCCTCTTCCGCGCTGTGCGTAGCGGCGTGGGGGGTACTCTCGGCAGTGGCGGTATAGTCGCCGGAAAGAGGTCCGCAATTTACACATGACTGAGGCCCTGTTAGGATATTTTCTTACCCTTGATAATTTGGGACCGTTTTTCGGAGGATAGCCAAGATTTCATAACTCCTAAGCAACAATAAATGCTATTAGCTAAATTTGTAATTTGATAACGTTGGATTAGGAAATTGGTTTTCTCCTTTAAGTTTAACGTCTGTGAACTCCAGCGGAAAGTTCTGCTAGTTCGTCCAGAACTTTAACCTTGTTCCAGACCTTGAGTTTTGCGTGCACATTCATTTTACGGATCAGGCCTATTTGTAAGCAGACTGTTGGTTCCTCGCCGCTCAGTTAGATGCACTCCGACTTCAAAGAATACATCCCTAATTATTAGACTTTTACAACATTCTTGTTAGAGAACATTAAGTCATCCCCCCCCCCCCCCCAACTCCCTCTCTCTCTCTCACCTCCCTGGACCTCACACGGGTATTTTTAATCAACGAAATGCTAACTTAATTTTTGTTTGGTTTTTTATTTACGTCCTAGCCACTAGCAATTCCGCGAAATAGTTATGCCGTTTTACCGGTCTGCAGGTGTTATAGCTTGAATAACACTGATGTAGAAAATAACCTATCTGGGACAGACAGGGTTAACACAACTTTTCTTCGCGCCATTGGACCACTCGCATTTTTTATAGACTAGTTTGTACTCACAATATCAAGTTGTCAACAAGGTCACGGGCATAGACTCCGGAACTGAGAGCTCCAGCCCCTCGAGGCTCTCCCCTTTAACCGTGTGTTAAAATTATCTTT